CAACCAGGATCCCCGAACCCAAGTCTAGCCTCTCCCCGACCCTGTTTGGCGGAACGCAGCCGCTCGCTCCGAGGTGCTTCCCGAGTGACCGAACGATCTCACGCGCGCGGTTCTTTCATCGTAGGCTGAGACGGCAATCGCTCTCTCCATTCACTGTATTTCGCTGGCAGGTTCTGGGAGCTGCGGCGCCGCGCCGATGTCTACTACGCCTACTCCTACGTGCACGCGTACATCCAGGCAGGCTGCGCGCCATGTTTCGCGCCAGCGCTGGACATGTCCATATCAATGCCCTCGCGGTCTGTGACACCAAGGCGCGATCCCATGGGCATGGATGCGCGATCCGGTGCACAAGCTCCGCGAGAGGCCGAAGATTCCGAGAGAAGGCCGCGAGAAGCCCGCGAGAAGCCCTGCCTCCAGGGGTGTCGCAGCCGAGAAGTCTGTGCCGCGAGGGCGTGGGTACTGATAGCAGGGCGTGCTCTCCTCCTCCTCCTCCTCCTCCTCCTCCTCCTCCTCCTCCTCCTCCTGGGAAGAGCCCCGCCTTTGGCGCACGCGTGTCGCCCTCGACGGAGGCCCGGGGAAAGCATGAGCGGCGGCGGCTCTCGGCCGGCGGAGGGCCCGGCCGGAGCGGGGCCAAAGCGAGAGGGAGGCGTGCACGGCGGTCGTTGAAAGTGGGTGCTGTTGGATGCCTGGCTTGGCATCGCTCGGACGTCTGCATTTTTCCCTCGGCGAGGACCATCGAGGAGCATCCTGGATCATTTGGCGAAAAAAAAAAAACACGCACGGAGCCGAACAAAAACACAGGGAAGGGACGTCCGAGCGATGGCGAGTGCCTGGGCCCCAGTCTTTTTTCAGATGCGCCGCCCTGCTGCAGGGATCGAGCGGGGGTGCTCCTCCTCCCTCCTCCCCCGGGGGCAGGCCGAGGCCCAATCTCTCCTCCCAGCGCCCTCCTCCGGTCGAGGCCGATTCGTAGATCGACCCTGCCAGACCACGGGTGCCTTTGTGTCGTAAGCCCAGTCTCTTCCCAGCGCCCTCCTCCGGTCGAGGCTGATTCGTAGGTCGACCCTGCCAAACCATGGGCGACCCATGCCTTCCTACATTCCTGCGGCACCGTGGCCCTCGGAGGGGTCCCGTGGCCTCTCGCGTGTCCTCTCCGGTGAGCCCCGACGGCATTTCGTGCTTCTGCCCACCTCTTCCGACCGGTGTGTGTGTGTGTGAGCCTTGCTGGGGCCCGTGGAGGGAGAAGAGAGGGGAGGGAGGAGGGGGAGGAGGAGGAAAGCACAGGAGGAGGAAGACGAGGCGGAGGAGGAGGGAGGAGGGGGAGGGGGGAGGAGGAGGAGGAGGAGGAGGAGGAGGAGGAGGAGGAGGAGGGCACGTCTTTGGCGCGCCCCAGCCGCGGGGCCTCGCCCTCGGCACGCACGCCGCACCCCTCGGCGGGAGAGAGGCCGGCGGAAGGGCCCGCGGAGGTGCAGAGTATCGGCGGCGGGCCCGGCGGCGGAAGCTGGCCGCGGAGGGCCGCGGATCGGTGCTTCAAAGATGGGGTCCTCCCAGGACCCCCTCGGGTCATGGAAAACTCCGGACGGGGAGTTGTTCGCCATTTCCGGCCTTTGGGGGCCCCTGCGGGCCCTCGGGACCGTCAAGAAACGACTCAGGACGAGAAACCGGTCCCGGTAAATGGGTCCAGACCGTTGGGGGTCCACGTCATGAAAGATGCATGATTTCGGGGGTCTGTGCTGAAGGATGGGGTCCAAAGGATGGGCAGGGGCCCAAGTGTGGATTTACAGTATTTGAGGCACGACGTCCTCAGGACCCCATCCTTCGAGACCCTATCTTTGAGCCACCGAGCGGGAGGTAAGAGCGATACGTCAGCCTTTTGGGATCTGCTCTGGTCCTCCTCCTCCGCCGCCTCCTCCGACGACGACTGGTGGAAGGTCGTGGGGAGGCCGCGGCCAAGCTCGAGGCATCAGAGAGGATGCAGCGGGGGAGCGGAGGCACGAGGCCCAGAGAGGAATGAGGCCGATTTTGCCGGAGTCGGCCCTCAACTCTGTCACACTACTCTGAGCCTGTGGCAGCCACGAGGCCCAGTTTTGTGTTTGTTCTTCTGGTGGTCCCTCTTCTGGCGTCGGCGCCGTGGTCATAGTCGTCGTCGTCCTTGTCGTTGTCGTCGTCGTCGTCGCCGTTGCCGTCGTCGTCGTCCTCGGCGTCGGCATCGTCGTTGGCGTTGGCGCCAGCGTCGGCGTCGTCTTCGTCGTAAGTCGTGCGTCGTGCGTCGCGCGTCGTCGTCGGCATCGTCATCGTCGTCGTCGGCGGCGTCGTCATCGTTGTCTTCGATGTTGTTCCGTCGTCGTCGTCGGCGTCGGCGCCAGCGCCGCGTCGTGGTCGGCGCGTCGCCGACGTCGGCGTTATCGTCTTCCTCGTCGTCGTTGTCGACGTCGTCGTCGTCGTCGGCGTCGTCGACGTCGTCGTTGGCGGCGTCGTCGACGTCGTCGTCGTCGTCCTCGTCGGTCGTCGGTCGTCGTCGGCGTCGTCGTCGTCGGCAGCGTTGTCGTCGTCGGCTTTGGCGACGTCGGCGTCGACGTCGTCGTCGTCGGCGTCGGCGGACTCGTCGTCGTCGTCGTGGTCGTTGTCGTGGTCGTCGTCGTCGTCGCCGTCGACGTTGTCGTTGTCGCCGTCGCCGTCGACGTCGTCATTGTTGTCATCGTCGGCGTCGGCGGACTCGTCGTCGTCGTCGTGGCCGTCGGCGCCGTCGTCGTCGTCGGCAGCGTCGTCGTCGTCGCCGGCGGACTAATCGTCGTCGTCGTCGTCGACGTCGTCGTCATCGTCGTCGTCGTCCCCGTCGTCGTCGGCGGCGGCGTCGTCGACGTCTTCGTCGTCGGCGTCGTGGTCGTCGCCGGCGTCGTCGACGCCGTCGTCGTCGATGCCGTCCTCGTCGCCGTCGTCGTGGTCGGCGTCGGCGTCGGGGTCGTCGTCGCGGGGAGGGGGTCGTCGTCGTCGGCGTCGGCGTCGGCGTCGGCGTCGGCGTCGTCGTCGGGGGGAGGGCGGGTGTCCAGCGGCGCAGACCCCCCCCCCGCTTGTGCTACTGTTCCCCGGGGGGGAGTCCAGAGCCCCCCCACGAATTTTGCCGGCCACGGGGTGCGGGGCCCAGAACCCCCCTCGGCCAGTTTTCCCAGGGGGGGGGGGAGAGGGAAGAGGGCGGCGGGGGGGGGGGGGGTCCAGACACTTCCCCCCCCCTCCTTTGCCGGGGTGGTGGGTGTGGGTTCCAGACTCCTCCTCATGATTTTCCAGGGGGGGGGGGGGCAGACCCCTTGGGTTCTTCCCGTGGGGGAGGGGGGGGCGGGGTTGGGGGGAGGGTGGGGGGGGGAAGGGGCCCCTGGTTGCTACCCCCACCCCCCCCCCCAGGAGGTTTTGTCAGAGGAGGGGGCAGGTGCCCCCTGCTCTCCGCCCCCGCCCTTAGAACTAAAATTCAGGACAGCGACGGTGGATCGCGCGCTCCGTTAAATGTTCTATGAATGGTGACCTCGGGAGCGCACGTGCGTCCTAATGTACGAAGGATCGTGTCTCTTGGAGCACGCACCTGTCGTAATGTTCGAGGTGCTGTGGCGACGGCAGCGCGAATGTGCGTCGGTGCGTCGCGATTTGAAATAAGCGTAGTGGCTTCTGGAGCGCGATCACGCATCGTAAGTTACATGGGATTGTGGCCTCGGGAGCTCGGAACCATTGTTTTTCTCACGGGTCCTTGGGCACCCAGGAGTTGAGAGAACCCAGATTCGAAGTGATACGCTAGTTTGAAGAGCGGAGGGGGGGGGAGCCGCGCATTCTGCAACGTGCCCACGTTGGAACGTTGATGATCTATCACGTGTGAGACCTTGGATTTGGAAACTGCGTTGGAACCGAGGATGTGAGCACTGGCTGCCAGGAGCAGAGACCTCGTCCACGCAGCCCGGTGGCCCACCAGGGGGCCTACTGATTGAACCAGGGGGGACGAGGAGGAGGAAGAGGAGGAGGAGGAGGAAGAGAAGGCGGAGGAGGAGGAGGTGCACGGAGGAGGCGGAGCAGGAGGGATCGGGGGCAAAGGTTGCAGGGCTTGCGTGGGGCGCGCACGTCGCCGCGGCCGGGCCCGCCTTGAAACATCCTGGCCAGAGCACGCCCGAGGACAGGACCTGGAGGCGGGAGGAGGGGGATCTGGATCGGAGGGGGCTACGACGAGGACAAATCCGTTCCAGAGCGTTTCCAGAACGCCCTGACGAGGCCGCGGCGCCCGAAACCTCTTGCAGAGCCGCTGGATCTCAGGGATTCTCGATTTACCCCCATCCGATTATAGCCTCGTCCTAGCTTCGTCATGCTGGAGGCTTGGGGAGAGAGGCCCAGAGCCTCGCGAGAAAACTCGCAGCACGGCGTCTGCCCCAGAGATCTCTGGGCCTCCAGGCCCGCCCTCCTGGCCCCGAGGCCTTCAGAGGGAGCGCCCCCCGGGCGAAGAGGCTGCCCCGGTGGTGGGGTCGGGGGGGGGCCATTCTCGGGGGCGGAAAAGAGGGGGGTGATGACTAGGGAGGGGTGGATAGCATGGCGGGGGCCATGATATTTCCCCAGGTTTCATGGTGCCTCTTCTTGTTTCATTACGTCCCTGGCCCCCCCGCTGGGCCGCGCACATGCCGCCAGTCCTGATTTGCACCCCCCCCTCTTGGACACCCCCCTCTTGGCCGCTCCCGACATTCGAAGAAGAAGAAGAAGAAGAAGAAGCGGCATGAGCATATTCTTTCGACGGTCCGCGAGGAGTTCTTGGGTTGGCGCTTGGAAGCCCCTGGCGGTGCCTTGCGCCGCCCCTGGCGCGCTCCGCGCGCCAGGGAGGGAGGTCCGACGCAGATCCCAGACATTCGCGCGGACCGTCGAAAGTTTATGGTTACGCAGCTGTTGTTATCATTCCCGCGATGTCATGCCAAATCTAAGGACGGCGCTCGAGGGCGACGACGATTAGGATTATGAGGGAGAGTGGCTCTCCTCCCCAGGAGCCCTTCACGACGCTGCTTCCGGAGAGCGTGTTCAACTGCGCCCTGTACCTCTGGAACATCCTCGCCTCCAGCCGGTTCTCCGCCCAGCCGACCTCAAAGGCCAGGCGCCGCAGGGTTTCTCTTTGTTGTTTCCCCTCCCTCTCTCTCTCTTTCTCCCTCTATCGCTCCATATGTTTCTCTCTCTCTCTCTCTCTCCTCATCGGTCTCTCCCTATGTTTTTGTTGTTGATTGTCTCTCTCTTTCTCCCTCCCTCGGTCTCTATCCCTCAGTCTCTGTCTCTCTCTCTCTCTCTCTCTTCCTCGCGGGCGCTCTCTTTCGCTATCGCGCTCCCCGTCTCCATGCCCTCCTCCTGCCCGTCATGCGCATCATCTACCGACTCATCGTCACCACCACCATCATTGGATTTTCTGCGATGACCGCCCGGTAGAGCTGCAACGGCGCAGGGAGGATTGGTATGGTCGTTGCGCAGGGGTGGCGCACTCAGATCCAGAAGCCGATGCGATGACCACCTTTTCTCGTCGTCGTGATCGTCAGCTGCCCCTCCCTCTCCCTGGTCTCCCTCTTCCTTTCCGTTGGGGGGCATGACGGCCTCGAGGTGCGAAGCCGGTCAGTGCTGAGCCCTGTCTCGCCCGTGGGGGGCCGGGCTCTCCAGTCGTCTCGAGCCGCAGAGCGCAGAGCCCGTGCGCGAGCGATCTGCGTCAGCGCCCCACCCCACGACGCCCCACACTGCAATGCTCCTCCTCCTCCTCCTCCTCCTCCTCCTCCTCCTCCTCCTCGGATTGCAGGATCGTGCCTGAGGCAGTGTTGCGCCCCGAACCTACAGCTTCGGAGGCAAGGGGGGCTGGGGGGCCGTTCAGGGACAGAGAGTGGCAACCGTAGCAGATTCCGGTTACTGTACTCTTTTGGTTTTCATCATGCTTGCTCTCAGCGTGCCGCCGCAAAGTGTGACCATTGAGAGCTCCAGCAGGAAAAGACGAAAGCGCATTCGGCGCACGCACGCATTGCATTCGCAGAGAGCCAGTCTTTCTGTATTGGACCACGCCCACTCGCCCCATCCGCCAGGCCCGACGCGTAAACAGCATTCGCCTTTACTTGAGGGGAAGGGTTACTTAGAGAGCGACTTGTACATGGATGGAACTAGCGAACTTGACACCTCCAGGATTGGAGTCAGCAGCGACACCTCATGAGGAAGTACAGCCAGGACCCAAGGGGATCGACGGGCAATGCGCACAAGACAGTCATGAAGCCTATGTTAAGGAGTTGGTTGCTTCATTATAAAGTATACACATAAGATGCATGGTACAATTTAGACAGGTGCTGGATACATTGTCAGACGTACTACCTTTGTTCGCCGCACGACCGCCAACAACTGAATGCAATGACGATGTTTTGGGACAGGGGGTTGAAGAAGAACACGAGACCAAGACAGAAACGAACAGAGAGGCATTGAACAGAGTGTATGACATACTAGCTCAGGGCAAGGATATGACTTTCGCGAGTTTTTTTTCCAGAATGGAGCGCCCCTGCAAAGAAAAGGAAGTCCACGGTGCAATTTCAGGACCGAGATTAGGATTATACCGAACATTGGAGATTGTTATAACATGGCGCCTGTCATGTAGACCTTTGCAGTATTTGTCCACATGCATCACATCACCATCGCGCTGTTGCCCAGGCGTGCGTTTGGCGTGTCAGCCTGAGAGATCTCCCAGGTTTCGCCAGTCCGCGGGGGCGGGCCGCGTTTCCCCTTCGTTTTCTCCCTCCGCTTTCCCTTTTCCCATCGCCTCTCCTTCTTGTCCCCCCCTCTTGGCTCCTCGGCCTCCTCCCGCTCTCTCTCTCTCTCTCTCTCTGTCTCTCTCTCTCGTTCTCTCTCTCTCTCTCTGTCTCTCTGTGTCTCTCTCTGTCTCTCTCTCTCTCTCTCTGCCTGAGCCCCGCCTCGGGGTGGCGACCACGGGCAAATAGGGAAAGCGCGCCAGTGGATGGCCCTGAATACACAAAAGGGGGGGTGGGTGTTCGCAGAACCCCCCCCACTTTCCCCCCCTTCAAAGGGGGGGTGAGATTTTCACCCCACCCCCCCCCCTCCCCACTTAAGAGGGGAGGGGGTGTCCAATTCCCCCCTCCCCTTTGAAGAGGGGGGGGTCCGGAACCCCCCCCCCCCTCCCCCTTTGGCGGTGGAAAGGGGGGGAGAGTTCGAACCCCCCCCTCCCTTCCATTGCGCCGAACAGGGGGCTGCGGAGGGGGCCTCTCGGGTAGTGAGTAGAGAGTAGAGTGTTTTGAGTAGCGACTGGTGAGTAGTGGGTATTTGATAGTGAGTAGTGCGCAGTGAGTCGTGAGTAGTGAGTAGTGGGTAGTGCGTACTAGGTACTGGTAGTAGTGAGTAGTGCGTAGATACTAGTGAGTAGTAAGCAGTGAGTAGTGGGTAGTGAGTAGCGGGAAGGAAGTAGTGAGTAAGGAATTGTGAGTAGTGAAGAGTGAGTAGTGTGTAGTGAGTAGTGCATAGTGAGTAGCAAGCAGGGAGTAGGGATGAGGGAGTAGACAGTAGTGAATAGCGAGGAGTGATAAGTGAGTAGTGAGTAGTGCGCAGGGGGCAGCGAGTAGTGAGTAGTGAATGGTGAGCAGCGAGTAGCGAGTAGCGAGTAAGGAGTAGCGGGTAGGGAGTAGCGAGTAGTGAGTAGTGAGTAGCGAGCAGGGCGTTGTGAGTAGTGAGTAGTGAGGAGGGAGTAGTCAGGAGTCAGTAGTGAGTAGTGAGTAGGAAGTAGTGCGTACCGAGGAGGGAGTAGCGAGTAGTGGGTAGCGAGTCGGGAGTAGGGAGTAGCGAGTAGGGAGCAGTGAGAAGCAAGAAGTGGGTATTGAGTAGTGGGTTGTGAGTAGGGAGTAGCGAGTAGAAATTAGTGAGTAGCGAGTAGTGATTCGTGAGTAGTGAGTAGTGAGTAGCGACTTGCGACAAGCGACTAGTGAGTAGGGAGGAGGGAGTAGTGAGTTGTGAGTAGCGATTTGTGCGCCGTGGGTAGTGAATAGTTCGTATTGGGTAGCGAGTGGCGGATAGTTCAGTTGTGGGCAGTGCGTAGTGAGTAGTGAATTGTAAGTACTCAGTAGTAAGTAGTGGTTAGTGGGTAATGAGTAGTGCTTAGAGAGTAGTGAGTAGTGGGCAGTGCGTAGTGTTCAGTGAGTAGTGAGTATTGAGTACTGGGTGGTGACTGGTGAGAAGCGAGTTGGGAATAGTGAGTAGGGAGTAGGAGGTAGTGAGTAGTGAGTAGTGGGAGCGTAGTGAGTTGTGAGTAGTGGGTAGTGAATAGTGCGTACTGATAGCGAGTAGGGCGTAGGGAGTAGCGAGTAGCGAGTAGTGAGTAGTGAGTACCATGTAGGAGGTAGGGAGTAGCGAATAGTGAGTAGTGAGTTGTGGGCAGTGAGTAGTGAGTAGTGAAGTGTGAGTAGGGCGTAGTGAATAGTGGTTAGTGGTAGTGAGTGGTGATTTGTGATTTGTGAGTAGTGGGAAGTGAGTTGTGTTTAGTGAGTAGTGAATATTGAGTAGTGGGTAGTGAGTAGTGAGTAGTTTGTAGTGGGTAGTGAGTAGTGAGTAGGGAATAGGGAGTAGTGAGTAGTGGGTAGAGGCTAGTAAGTAGTGGGTAATAATAGTGAGTAGTGAGTAGCGAGAAGTGAGTAGTGAATAACGAGTAAAGAAATGTGGGTAGTGCGTAGTGCGTAATGAGCAGTGAGCACTCTTTGGGGCTAGGGTTTGGGTTTGGGGTTCGGGTTATGGGTTAGGGTAAGGGTGTGGATTTGTGTTAGGGGTGGTAGGTGTCGGGTTGCGGAGACCAGGGGGGGGCCGTGGCGAAAGGGGGGGAGGGTGGGGGTCGAGTTTGGCAGCCAAAGGGGGGAGGGGGGGGGTCGGACCCGCCCCCTTTTGAAAGGGGGGGGAGGGGGGGCAAAGGGAGGAGGGGGAGGGGGGGAGGACCCCCCCCTTTTGAAAGGGGGGGGGTCCCGACGACGGACCGGGAAAGGGGGAGGGGGGGGAGATCCCCCGACGACGGATCGGGAAAGGGGGGGAGGGGGGGGGTCCCCGACGACAGATCGGGGAAGGGGGGAGGGGGGTCCCCCCCCCCTCCCCCCCCCCCCCCCCCCCTTGGGGCCATCCAGCGGCGCGCCCTCGCAAGTAGTAATAAAGCAGCAATGCGCTGCACCTTCCTCACTGCGTCGGGGCGTTCGGTCGTGGGAGAGCGAGAGGGAGGGGTTGGGAGACGTGGGCCCCCAGCGGGGGGAGTGCGCCTCAACGAAGGCAGGCGCTCCTCTTGTCAGCCGAGGCAGGGTTCCTCCGCTAGCGGCGCCCTAGACACACCGAGACAGGTTTGCGGGCCAGGCGCGCCAGGCGGCCCTCGAGCTTCACGGTTTTCGGGCTTGCATCCACATCCCACCCAGGGGTCGGCATGCCTGTTCGGTAGGCGCTGAGGCTCAGACACCCAAGGGCCTTATCCTTCTCCTCCTCCTCCGACTCCGACTCCGACTCCGACTCCTGGGTCGCATGCCTGGGGCGCCGCCGCCTCGCCGGGCCGCAGCGAGACGCCGGCCGGGCCGACGGCCACCCCAAGGCGCGGATGAGTTCCCTGCGGCAGGCCGGCTGCCAGCGCCACAATCATCACCATCACCATCACCACCGCCACCATCATCACCATCCATCACCGTCGTCGAACGATCGCTTAGGCATGACCGCCGCCATCGCCAGACCACGCTGCCCGCAGCCCAACTCTCAGCACCCGACGCCTCGACGCCCCGCCTCCCTGCGGAGACCCCCTGCTGGCCCGAGCGCGCCCGGCGCGAGAAAGGCCGAGGCCCACGGCGCGGCGGCCCCGGAGAGGCCTCGCCACCGTGGCGGGGCCGGCCTCCGTCTCTTTCGGCCACGCGCAGCGGGGGGCAGCAGGGGGATTTGGACCCCCTCGAGTTATGAAAAAATCACGACGGGAGGTTTTTCATTATTGTTGGCCTTTGGGGGCCCTTACCGGCCCTCGGGACCGTCAAAAAACGACTCGGGACGAAGAACCGGTCCCGGGGAAAGGGTCCAGACCGCTGGGGGTCGACGTCATGAAAAATTCATGACGTCGGGGGTCTGGGGGAGGGGGGGGAAGGCTTCTCGGAAAGAGGTAGAAGGCCGGCGCCTTTAAGACGCAGTTTCCGTCTAAGGAGCCTTCCCCCGCCCCCAGACCGCCTCGCGCGCACCGCCAAGTCTCGCCCCCCCGGCCGACGCTCTGGGGCAGCGCTGGGGGGCACAGCAAGCAGTGGCAAGGCGGCTCGGCTTGCCTATAGGCCCACCAAAGAATGTTCTTAGAACACTTTGGGTTGAGACCGCCTCGTTTAAATCACTCGGCGTTACGTTCGAAGAGCACTATTCTTGTTTCAAGAACATCTTATGTTTCTAAGCATATTCATGGTAGGCCTATAGGAACGCCGGGACGGTCGGCCCCCGCTCAAGGATGGGTTCCGGGTGGGGGTCCAAAGTTTCCCGAGGTTGTTTTGCACTTTTCGGTGCTCGGGGTGGTTTCAATCAGCTGCGCCACGTCGAGCGCGGTCCTGGGGTGCCGAAATGGTCCTGAAGGGCCGCCGGAGACCCGAATTATGACCCAGGAAGAAGAGTAGAGGCCGAGGTGGAGGGAGATTGGAAGGGAGGGAGGGAGGGAGGAGGAGGGAGGGAGGGAGGGAGGAGGAGGGAGGGAGGGAGGGAGGAGGAGGAGGAGAAATAGAAGGAACGAGAGGAGGAGGAGGAGGGAGGAGGAGGAGGAGGAGAAGGAGGAGGATCATGTGCAGGAGGACAGTGGGAGAAGGGCGAGGGAGGTTGGAAGGAGGAGGAGGAGGAGGAGGAGGAGGAGGAGGAGATGGAGGCGAAGGAATAGCAAGGCGCCCCCTGAGCTGGATTTTTCCCCCGAGCGTCGCCCCCACTTTTGCGCGGGATGGCCGCCCGCTGCGCCGCGCGCCTGGAGGCCGCCGTGGAGCAGGGGCTGCGTGCGTCGTGCGCCGCGGATCTGAAGCGATGCTCGGCACCGTCTGGTGGGTCCCCCTCCCGGCTGGGCTGTTGCGCCTCCGCCCCGGCATTCGGTCGGGCGTGTCCCCCATACAGGTCGGGGGCGGAAAAGAGGGGGGTGATGACTAGGGGGGGGGGGATATCATGACGGGGGCCATGATAGTTCCCCAGATTTCATGGCGCCTCTCCTTACGTCCCTGCCCACCCCGCTGGGCCGCGCACATGCCGCTGGTCATGATTTGCACCCCCCCCTCTTGGACACCCCCCTCTTGGCCGCTCCCGAATTAGGTCGGGCGTGTCCCCCATACAGGGGGGTGTTGGACGAAAGGAAAAGATAGAGCACCTCGAGACGGCCCCAATGTGTCTCTGAATGCCCATCCCCCTCGGCCCACCTGGGGAACATCTCCTTCGCCTTCTCCTGCCCCCTTCCACCTTAATATCCCTCCTCCTCCTCCTCCTCCTCCTCCTCTTCCTCCTCCTCCTCCTCCTCATCCTCATCCTCCTCCTCCTCGTATTCGTCGTCGTCGTCTTCAGGGTCGGGCCTGTCCCTCTACAGGGGGAAGATTCAAAATAGTCCAAAAAAGGTCTGGGCATGATTTTTTGACTATGCTTGAGTATTTGGGGGGCATTTTCTGTGTATTTTGTTTTATATTTCGTCCAAGATCCGCCTGAAGGGGGATTTTGAACGAAAAGTAATGAAAATTGGGCCCCAAAAAATGAAATGGCAAAAAATATTCTAAAAATCGTCCCCATGCATATTCCCCCTGGAGAGGGACAGGCCCGGCTTAACCGCAGCAGCCCACCCCTTGAGATCTTGGCGTCGCACTCTTCGGGGCACGAAGACTGGCACAAGCATAATAAACCACTCGGAGGTCCGCGCGGATCTCTCGGATCGGCGCTGGAACCCCCTCCCTGGTGCGCGGAGCGCGCCTGAGGGGCGGCGCCGGAGGCGCCGCCTGGGGGGTGTCCAGCGCGGATCCGAGAAATCCGCGCGGACCTCCGAGTTGTCATGTTTATGTCATTACTCGCTCCCTTAGTTCTGTCACAGCAGGTGTGGATCGACCCAGCTCGAGAAATGCCGCAGGAAGATGGGGACTACGTAGGGCTCTGGTCGTGCTTGTGGCTCCGGTGTTGCTTCTTCGTGACGTCGGATCTCGGGGGGGGGCCCTCCATGGGCGAAAACAGGTCCCGCAAAGCCTAGAGGGATAGCCTGCACACCCGCAGCCAGGGGGCGAGTTGGCCAGCGGGCCCGAGGCCATGCCGGAGGGGAGGGGGATCGGTCAAACGAGGCTCAGATACCGGAAGAGGAACACTCCGCACAAGCACCAGCTCGGGGGTTCGTAGAGGGAGGGCTCTCCCAAGATGGGGCTGGGGAACGGGCCCAGCTGGACGCTCTCGTGCTTGTTTCCTTTTCTTCCAGGGGCTGTTCGGAGCGATTTTCCCGCAAAACGCCACCGTTGCCCCGACCCCACCTTTGTGCCCTCCCCCCCCCCCCCGACCAGCTCCCGGAGGCCCGCGCGGAGTCCTCGGGTCGGCGCTGGAGGCCCCCCGAGCGGCGCCGCCCCTGGCGGCGCCCCGTGCGCCAGGGGGAGGGCGGGGCGGCCCAGCGCCAGCCCAAGAGATCCGCGCGGGCCTGCGAAAGCTCCCCGAGAGCCGGCGGTGCAGAAGGATTGCGCATGGCTCATGGCTCAGCATTCGAAAGTTCTTTGCTTTTTGGGGGGCCGAGGTCCCTTCATGTGTCATTGTTCTACCCTCGACCTCTTCCTGGCCACAAGGGGCCCAGGAACAAGTAGAAGCGAGCACACTCAGAAATGGGCAAGACTGAAAAGGAACGACGTGTGCGACGTCGCAAGAAACCACGCCCGGAGCCCCGTGCCCCATCTCAGATCGACCCGTGCGGGCCCACGGGCCCGAAACTGGGCGGAAACGCCCGGAGCGAAAAGATGGCATCGCCAGGACCTCCGGGTTCGTGCTCGTGCCGCTGTTGTTCCTCTGGATACGCCCGGTGCGCGGCGCGGCACTCGGTCGCCCCGGGCGCGGACCCCGCGGCCTGCGGGCCTTGCCGCCCCGAGTGGGCCGGGCTCGCCCGGTGCGCTGTGTCCGAGGTGCTCGGCCGCGCGGAGCCCGTGCTGGCAGCGGAGGCCCAGGTTCGGGGGAGGGAGGTGCACCGAAGTACTGCTGCTGCTCTTCTCGGCGGGCCGAGCGAGGGGGGGAAGCGCCCTGACCTTCCAGGAGGGCTGAAAAATAGCACCCGACTTAGAAACCTATCCCAAAGCTATTCCACGTCTCGGTTTTAGGCTGATCTCGCTCAGCTGTTTAGGTTTTTAGGTCTCCAGTGTTAAAAAATAGCTCTCTGGAAGGTCAGGGTGGGAAGGAGCGGGCCTGCTGAGAAGGCTCGGAAGTCCCCCGGCCTGCTCAGAAGTGTTCGGAGCGTTCCCCGAAGGCGCAGGCAACCTCTCACAGGGCGCGAGGGCTTCTGAGAAGCCCCGCCGCCCTCTGGGAAGGCCTTCTCCTTCTCGCTCCCCCTCCTCGCTCGCCGCCGAAGATCTCTCGTGTTCGCCTGTTGGAGCTTCCTGGGCGGCCCTCGTGCCCACGGCTGGAGTCGCGTCGAGGTGCTGGCCAGAGCGCACCCAGGGGAGAGGTCTGGGGAATACTGTTAAGTCGGGCGTGTCACTCTCTACAGGAGTAGCATTCCAAAATAGTTTAAAAAAAGTCTGGAGACGATGTTTCTATTTTTGTTTCCTAATTTTGACTATTTGGGATTTTCCGTCCAAGACCAGCCTGTAGGAGAGGGCATGCCCGACCTAAGAATTGTGATATCGGTACGTTTTGGTTTCCCCACAGGTGCAGACGCGGGTGGACATTCGAGGAAGGAAATACCGTACACACCTAAAGTTTCGGAGCTCAGCGCGAATTTCTTCGGTCGGCGCTGGGCCCCCCTTTCCTGGCGCGCGAGGCGCGCCAGTGGCGGCGCCAGAGCCGCCGGCAGGGGGGCCAGCGCCGACCCAAGCAATCCGCGCGGAGCTCTGGAAGCTCATGCTTGTACCGCTGTTCCTCTCTTGTGGACATGTCGAACCCCTACTGGCAGGGCCAGATCGAGTTCAACGAGCGCATGCACGCGGTCGGCACGCCGCGCATGTGCAACGGGCAAGCGCTCGACTTCACCACACGGCGCAGCTGCCGGCAGCGGTACACCGGCTACGGTGGCGGGAGCGGGGAGGCGGAGGACCTGTGGAGGGACTGCGTATGGCCTTTGCACCGCAAGGCTGTCAGAGCGGCGCTTGCACAGTCCGAACCGACCTGACTGCGCGGTGCTGCACCACCGCGAGGGAAAGGGAGTCCGTGCAGTTCCCCAGAAGTTTATGTGGTTGCCGCTGGATCCCCAGACAGTGTCGTGCTTTGCTTGCTCAAGGACGTGGTTGAGTATTCCGGGTGTTTGGCCGGTGCCCGCCGTTGGGCGCCTCGTGAGCGCCCCGCGGCTGAAATGTATACCGAGATTTCGCCCCGTGCCCGCCCGTGGGCGCCTCGTGGGGCGCCTCGTAGGCGACGATCGCTTGGGGGGGGGGGGGGGGGTATCCCAAGCTTTCGCTGGATGCCCGGCCGTGTGGGCGCCTCGTGGGCGCCCCGCGCGGGAGAAGTATGCCCATGTTCCGCCCGGTGCCCCCCTGTGGGCGCCTCGTGGGCGCTCCCGTAGATTGATTCTCCTTGTTGAAAACAGAATAGGATCTGCCCCCCCCCCGGCGTGATCGACACCCCTTTCGGGCATGTAAATCCCATGTGATTCTGACCACATGTCCATCCTAGATATGCACTTACACTATCCCAGGCCAGCCGGGTTCCCCCTCCCTGAGGTTCCCTTGTTTAAAAACATTGTGCGGTGACATTTTTTGTTCTAGCATACCACTTTTTCACGAATCCCTTGCAAACAATGGGACGAAGTGCACACGCGCGCGTCGTCGCGCGCGCATGCCGAAATCCTTCAAAAAATGTCGGTGCCGGAAGGATTTCGCAATCGAGCTTCCAAACAACATACAAAAAACACAGGGTTTCGCAACACTGATTTGCTAAAAAAGCTTCCGCGCGAGCTCTTGCGAAATCTTAAGAAAACCATAGGTTTTTCAAGATTTTCACAAAATGCTACCAAACGGGCGCGCGCGCATGTCGAAATCTGTCGAACGCCCTTGCGCGTGTGCCGTCGCGAGAATCCTCTGCAAAAAATGGGACGAAGTGCAGACGCGCGCGTCGTCGCGGGCGTATGCCGAAAACCTTCAAAACCCATCGGTTTCGAAAGGATTTCAAAATCGTGCGTCCAAAAAACCTACAAAAACCTAAGGTTTCGCAACACGGATTTTCAACAAAAGCGTGCCCGCGCGCGCTCTTGCGTCGTCGTCGTCGTCGTCGTCGCCGTCCTTCCTCCTCCCGCGTCGTCGTCGTCGTCGCCTACGTCGTCCTCTGTCTTTTCTCGTGTTCGTCGTCGTCGTCCTCTTTGGCGTCGTGGTCGTTTCCGTCGTCGTTGTCGCCGTGGTCGTCCGTCCTCCTCCCCCCACGTTGTCGTCGTCGTCCGTCGTCGGCGTCTCGTCGTCGGTTCTATTTCGTCACCGTCGTCGTCGTCGTCGTTGTCGTCGTCGTCGTCTTCCCTCCTCCCGCGTCGTCGTCGTCGTCGTCGCCTACGTCGTCCTCTGTCTTTTCTCGTGTTCGTCGTCGTCGTCCTCTTTGGCGTCGTGGTCGTTTCCGTCGTCGTTGTCGCCGTGGTCGTCCGTCCTCCTCCTTCCACGTCGTCGTCGTCGTCCGTCGTCGGCGTCTCGTCGTCGGTTCTATTTCGTCACCGTCGTCGTCGTCGTTGTCGTCGTCGTCTTCCCTCCTCCCTCGTCGTTGTCGTCGTCGGCGTCGCCGTCCTTCCTCCTTCGTCGTCGTTCGCGTCGTCGCCGTCCTCCCTCCTCCCTCGTCGTCGTCGTCGTTGTCGTCGTTGTCGCCGTCGTCGTCCTTCCTCCTCCCTCGTCGTCGCCTTCGTTGGCATCGTCGTCGTCGTCGTTGTCGTCGTCGTCTTCCCTCCTCCCTCGTCGTTGTCGTCGTCGGCGTCGCCGTCCTTCCTCCTTCGTCGTCGTTCGCGTCGTCGCCGTCCTCCCTCCTCCCTCGTCGTTGTCGTCGTCTTCGTCGTTGTCGCCGTTGTCGTCCTTCCTCCTCCCTCGTCGTCGCCTTCGTTGGCATCGTCGTCGTCGTCTTCGTCGTCGTCGGCGTCGTCGTCGTTGTCGTCGTCGAAGTCGTCGGAGACGTCGTCGGTGTCGTCGTCGTCGTTGTCGTCGTCGACGTCGTAGTCGGTAGTCGGTCTTAAGAGGTTTTGCAAACCAAGTTGCGGGTGGGAGGTTGGGATGTTTGCGCGAGCAGTGGAGAGGACAGCTTCAAGTTGAGCAAGTGATTGAATTGCACCACGTAGCTTGCACCACATAGCTTGTACCGCATAGCCTGCAAAACGTAGATTGCACCACGTAGATTGCCCTGCAGAGCTTGCCAGGCATAGCTCGCACCACGTAGAGTGTACCACAGAGCTTGTACCACGTAGATAGTACCACATAGCTTGCGCAGAAACAGCTTGCACCAGATAGCTACGGTTGCACCACATAGATTGCATCACATAACTGACACCGCATTGCCTGCACCACACAGTTTACGCATCCAACATGCAACAACTTACTGTTCGGGGTCGACGCCGGCAAGCAGGCACCGTCTTCCAGCACTTCTCGCTGGTTTGTTCCAGAGCCTCCTGCGAAGTTGCCCACGCGTTGTTCTATATACACACACACACACACCACACACACTTTTTGCGCCGGCGGCTAGGCAGAGTCACTGCGCTGGCGAACGATGCGTCGGTGGGGCGCACGGAAGGCCTAAGGAGGAGGAGGAGGAGGAGGAGGATGCGCAGGATGCGCCCGGCAGCGGCGGGAAAGAGGGATAGACACACACACACACACACACACACCACACCACACCACACACCACACACCACACACCACACACCACACACCACACACCACACACCACACACCATACACACACACACACCACACCACACACACACACACACACACCAACACCACACCACACCACAACACACCAACACCAACACCATACCACACCACACCACACACACACGTTTCTCACGTCTGTCCTGCAGGCGCCTCGGCACCCCCAAGCCGCCGCGCCTCCGTGGCGACACACGCGCGGAGCCGCTGCTCGAGATTGGAGTGGAGGGGTGCCCGATTCACGGCCGCAGTGTGCTCTCGGGTGTGCCATCGTCCCGAGTCACCCGAGTCCCCGCTCGCGGTGAGTTTGACTTTTGTCCTTCTTCTAAAAGCAGGATCAGCACTAGCCGAAGAAAAAACGCCATGAACATAGATTGTTGGCGCTCCGCGGGATTCTTGGATCCGCGCGGGGCCCCTTCCTGGTCCAGCCGTGCGCTGCAGGCGTTTACTTGTGGTGAATGTTTCGATTTGTGATTCCCATCGGGGTCCGCATCGCCCGCGTCCAGAGTTGCTGAAAGCGGAGAGCAAGAGGAGGAGGAGGAGGAGAAGGAGGAGGAGGAGCACGAGGAGGAGGAAGAGAGGAGCATGAGGAGGAGGAAGAGGAGGAGGAGGAGGAGGAGTAAGAGTAGGAGCAGGAGGAGGAAAGAACACAAGGAGGAAAGAGGATGATGATGATGATGATGATGAGGAGGAGGAGGAGGTAGGAGAGAGAGGAGAGGAGAAAGGAGGATGAGGAGGAGGAGCACGAGGAGGAGGAGGGAGAGGAGGAGGAGAGGCAGAAGGAGGGGAGGAGGAGCAGCAGGAGGGGAGAGCACGAGGAGGAGGAGGAGAGAGGAGGAGGCGGAGGGGGAGGGAGGAGGAGGAGGAGCAGAAGGAGGAGGAGGAGGAGGAGCACGAGGAGGAGGAGAGGAGGAGGAGGAGGGGAGGAGCAGGAGGAGAAGGAGGAGGAGGAGGATCGGAGGAGGAGGAGGAGGAGAGGAGGAGGAGGGAGGAGAGCAGGAGGAGGTAGAGGAGGAGCGAGGAGGAGGAGGAGGAGGAGAGGAGGAGCACGAGGAGGAGAGGAGATTGAGGAGCACGAGGAGGATGAGGAGCAGGGGAGGAGGAGGAGGAGTAGGAGGAGGAGCACGAGAGGAGGAGGAGCAGGAGGAGCACGAGGAGGAGGAGCAGGAGCACGAGGAGGACGAGGAGCACGAGGAGGAGGAGGAGGAGGAGGAGGAGGAGGAGCACGAGGAGGAGGAGGAGCACGAGGAGGAGGAGGAGGAGGAGCAGGAGGAGAAGGAGGAGGAGCACGAAGAGGAGGAGGACGCCGCCCCCCACCCGCAGCTGATCCACCTCGGGGAGAGCGGCAAGGGCGAGGCCCCCGCCGACAAGGGGCCCGGCTCCTCGGCCAAGGGCCAGCTGCTCCGCGAGGCGCACGCGCGCGCGCCGCCGCCGGCAGCGGCGCTCGTCGACGTCGCCGGCGTCGGACGACGACGACCACGACCACGACGACGACGACGACGACGACGACGACGACGACGACGACGACGACGACGACGGCGACGACGACGACCACGACCACGACCACGACCACGACGACGACGACGGCGACGACAAAGCGAAAGCGGCGACGACGGCGGCGACGACGACGACGACCACGACGACGACGACGACGACGACGACGACGACGACGACGACGACGACGACGATGTCGACGTCGACGTCGACGTCTCCGCCTCGCCCAGCCCAGCGCCGCTTCCTGAAGCAGCTTCGGAAGCTAACCAGTGTGGGCCCCAGGGGTCGATTTCGCACGCATGTTGGTCGAACGACGACGACGACGACGACGACGACGACGCCTTCGATTCGGAGTTGTCTGGGGGGCGTTTCCGGAGGTGCTCGGGACCACGGCTAGATGCAGCTTGGCAAAGTCGCCAGGATGGACCACGGGAGGGGTCTGGTTTTTTTTTTGAACGCCTGTTGGTCCGACGACGACGACGACGTCGACGTCTTCGCTTCGGAGGCTTTTGGGCGCTTGCAGGCTAACAGCAGCTCGGGAAATTGGCAATGATGGGCTCCCGGGCCAGCTTGGGGTTTGATCGGGCGACGACGACGACGACGACGACGACGACGACGACGGCGCCAACGGCGCCAATGGCGACGGCGGTGGGTTGGCGGCGGCGTCGGCGACGGCGGCGGCGGCGTCGGCGACGGCGGCGACGACGACGACGACGATGACGACGTCGACGCCGTCGCTTCGGAGCTTTGGGGGCTTTGCCATTGGTTCTTGCCGCCACGGCGAGAAGCGTCTCGGAAAATTGGCCAGGACGGATCCAGGGACCGATGTTTACAGTAGGCTGATTTGACACAGGCGCAAAGGAGGAAAAACCACCCAGACCCGATAATTGGCGTTGACTAAACGGCCGTGGACGTTTACAAAACAGCCTTGCCCTATTCGATTCCTCCTGTGGGTGCGCAGATGGTTGGTCGACTGGCGACAGCGATGGCGGCATAGGAAGAAAAAAATGAAGGGGAGGAGAAGGGGGCGAGGATGGTCTCCAGTGTGAGGAGGGGGTTGGGGAGTCCTGGAGGGAGGAGGGGAGTCTTCCATTCCAGTCTTGGAGAGTACAGAGGAAGGGAGGAGAAGGGGGAGGGCGAGGAGAAGGAGGAAGGAGGGGGGGAAGGAGAATAGGAAAGAGGATGGGAGAAGGAGGAGAAGGAATAAGAAGGGGGACGTAAGGAGTGAGGGAGGATGAGGAGGAGGAAGAGAAGAAGAAGAAACATCAGGAAGAAAAAGAAGAGGAGGACAAGGAGGAGAAGGAGGTGGAAGTCCTGAGGCAGCAGGAACAGAGGGGAAGTGAAGAAGAAGCGAGTAGAGGGGGGCGAGGAGGGGCGGGAGGAGGAGGTGGAGGAGGAGGAGGAGGACGACGACGACGACGGCGACGACGAAGACGATGGTGACGACGACGACGAAGACGACGACGACGACGACGACGACGACGACGACGACGACGACGACGACGACGACGACGGCGACGACGACGACGACGACGACGGGGGGAGAATGCCGCATTGAACCCTCATTGGCCAGCTCTGGAGTCCCTTGGGTATTGTTCTCCAGCGGCGCCGCCTAGGACGTCTCGGGTCTCCAAGAGTCATGCTCCCTCCTCCCTTCCGGTCCACTGGCTCGGCGCGATGGCGCCCGAGCCCCACATGGATCGATTGGAGTTAGTCTCGGCTGACTCCTTCTAGGTGGGCCACTCTCTTTTCCTGGCGCCACCCCGTTTTTTCAGGCAGCTCGGGGGGGGGGCTCTTGTACCCACGCGCGGGTCCTTCTGCCCCCCCTCCTCCCGTCCTCCTCAGCCTGCCTTTCCCGCCCACCCCCCCACACTGTCGCAAAAGGTGCCCTTGGGGATCTCGCGCGTCTACATCCTCTACGCGCTCGCCAAGCAGGCACCCAGGGCTCCCGAGGGGGTCGGGGGGGAGGGGGCAGCGGGGAGCAGCAGCCGCGACGAGCATCTCGATGCTTCTGTCCCCCCCTTGCTGGCGCCGCGCCGGCCGGCCCTCTGGGGCAACGCTCGGGTTAAGTCGGGCGTGTCCCTCTACAGGAGGGAGATTCAAGAATAGTGAACAAATAGTCGGGGGACGATTGTCTGAAAATTTTTGGACATGTTCTGACTATTTATAACTTTTCATCCAAAACCCGCCTGTAGGGGGACATGCCCGACCTAACGCTCGGGTGAGAAAGGCTCAGAGGGGGACGCATCGACCCCAAAACGACTACTCATCGCTGGCACGGGCCTGATAGCCCAGCCCGCCCAGGAGCGTGCGGTTCCGTTATCGGGGGCCCATCGCAGACCTATCGGCGACGTCTCGCCGATTCCAGCTCGATGCTTCCTCTCCCCGAGCCGGTCTCCCCTCTGCGTAGTTCCCCTTCATCTTCGCCCCAGCCGGATCCGCTTCGGAGTCCTGGTCAGGACGCGCTAATTGCAGAGGTGCGAGAGCTCGACTTTGAGGGGCGAAGGGTGAGACGGAGGTGGGAGACGAGTGCCTAGACACCTATCGTTTACAACGTGGTCCCCCGGGCGGTCTCGACCCCATTCCCCAGAACCGGCTTGTCATCCCGGGCCATCGCTTGACATTCTTGGGGCGCGGTACGGGCCCCTGGAAGCCGAAAAGATGCCCAAAGTTTCCCTCTTGCTTTTTTGGGAGGGGGGCGACGCGAGGGAGTCCGTGGGAGGCAGTGGAGATCAGGAGGAGCAGCGCGAGAATCAGCTGTAGCAGCTGCACAGGGGAGCACAGTCCCGGCCCCGCCCCGGAGGGCGCAAGACGGCTTGGTGGCGACCACGCAACCATTAGTCAGGCCAGCGGGCAGGCGATGCCAGGGGCAGAAAGGGCGAGAAGCAGCGGAAGGAGATGGGGGAGGGCCACAAGAGGAGGAGAGGAGGCGATGGCACGAGGGAGCGAAGCTGAAGCTAGACTTCTGAGCCCGTCGAGTGAGGAAGGTGGGAAGGCAAGAGCGAGCGGAAAAGAGAAGCACAACCTAACTCGACGAGCGAGATGCAGCACACCTGCACCGAGACATTTCGACGCAGGCGAGCTACCAAAGACGAAGAATAGTTATGTCTCTCTCGCTATTTTTGTGTGTGTCTTTCTCTCTCTCTCTCTCTTCTCATCCTGTCTCCCCCCCTCCCTCTCCCTTGCTCCCACTCCCCCTTCTCTCTCCCTCCGTCCTATCGCTCTCTCTCTCTCTCTCTCGTTCTCTCCATCCCTCCCTCCTTTCTTCATCTCTCTGTGTATTTGCATATATATATATATACATATATATATATACAAGGCTGCATTGGCGCTTCGCGCTATGCACCTTGGTCCTTGAGGCTTTGCATACGTTGGTCGTTCGCACCAGCCCTAGTGGCCTTGGTAATTTGGCACATTCCCTGCGGTGGTTTTCAGAAGTCTTCGAAAGTTCGGGCGGTCCCTGGCCCTTCCTGGGCCTCTGGGGGCTCCCGGAGGCGCCGGGTGGAGGGCGAAGGATAGGAGGGATGGAATCTCGGAGAGCGAGGAAAGGAAACGGATAAGGGGAAGGACGAGTGGTGGAGCGGCAGCAAGAGGAGGAGGACGAGGAGGAGGAGGAGGAGGAGGGCGCCGTCGGGGGACGGCGAAGAATGTTGCAGCGGGTTGCAGCGGATCGCAACGGGGCACGCGAACGCAAGTAGTTCTTAGGGAATGCACCCGATCCCTGGTTCGCAACAGATTTCCGGGATTTGTGGTTGCGAGCCCCGGATTCGGGTCAGTTTGGTGGAAAGTTTCATGTGGGTCTTGTTGGAGCCCTGGTGGGCCGGCCGGCTTGGGGCCGTCTCGAGCCGTCTTGGGGCCATTTTGGGCCGTGTTGGGGAGTTTGGGCCCTCAAGGGACCTCACGGGGGCTACGTAGGCCCTCCTGTTAGCCTCCCATGGCCTCTTGGGGGGCCTCCCATGGCCTTCTTGGGCTTCTCTTGGGGGCCTTTGAGGGCCTGTTGGGCCTCCTTTTGGCTCAGTTGGGGCTTACTTGGGCAGTCTTGGGGCCATCAGGCCGTCTAGAGGCTCTCTTGGGAGTCTCTAGGACCGTCTTGGGGCGATACCGGAGGCCTGTTTGGCTGTTCTGGACGCTGCTAAGAAACGAACTGCGAATGTGCTGGAAATGCACGTTTCCCTCGGGGAATGCAGCGATTTCTGCGTTCTGGGAGCCCTGTTGAGGGCCTCCTGGGCCGTCGTGGGGCCTCTGGAGGCCCTTTGGGTCCTTCTTGGAGCGGTCTTGTGCTGTCTTCGGTCTTTTTCGGCCTCTCTGATCACCGCTATGATCGCTTCGGGGCCTTGTAAGGGCCTGTTGGGCCTCTTTCTGGTTTTCTTTTGGGCTCATTTGGGGCTTCCTTGGGCAGTCTTGGGGCCATCTAGGCCGTCTAGAGGCTCTCTTG